CTTCTATGTCTATATTATCTTGGGTTTCAGTAGAAGTTTATGCGAGTGCTCAACTTGCTTGGAAACATTTTTCTTTGTTTCATTTCTCTTCTAAAATAAGTTTGAAAATGAAGTCCATATTTTATATTACCTGGTGAGCCCTTGCTCAGCCCTGGAATACACCCTTTCCTTCCCAGTGAGCAGTACATTTGTGTTTTCCTTTCTGTAACCTGGGAAGAAATTTGGAACGGTGTCCATTCCTCCAAGTATTTTCTTTTAAGTTTTTGCTCTGAGTTGGTCTTTTCTTAATTTGCCTTAAATGTATCAATAAGCACTTCTCATAAGAGAGAGTTTCAAAGAATACCAACTATGACTCAGTAATATTAACTTTATTTTCCATTCCTCACCCTTATGAAACAGTGGAGCTTCAATTTTTGTTACCGTCTACTTAAGTTTCTTTAAATTACAAGGGACATATAAAACATTTTTGAATTTGTTTCTTTAAATCATCAATATTATTAGCTTTGCTTCCAAAAAGCTTTTGTTCTCACTCTAAGGGAAATTGCTCACAGCATTTTAAATGTGAACTACAAACTAACAGAGTTTCTCCTTAGCAACTGCTGTCTCTGCCAGTGTACGAGCTGCATTCTGAGATTTAAATATGCAAAATGACTAGGTCAGGCTGTCTTGAGGATATAAAAAATATTGGATGAAGTAAAATTTTGCCTGAAATTAAATTTGCAGAAAATCAAATATCTGTTGTTTAGTTCTAAGCAGATGTTGAAAAGGTTTTCCTGGATGCCATCCTTATTGATAGTATGTCTTTTGATCTGAAGCCAAATAAGAAATCTGGATGTTAGTCTGGATTTGGAAATTTTCTTTAAATAAACATATTAGTTAAGTATGTAAATCTGCTTATCATCACTTAAGGAACGTTGCCAGAGTAAGAAACATCTGGAGCTCAATATCAGCTAACTTATTAATTCACATTTTTAGTATGTTTCATCCAGAGTATTGTAGGATTCTGTTATCTCAGTTGCTTAAGTCAGCTTTATCTAAAAGGCAATTAGTTGTAAGTTCTGTTGTTTACATTTAGACTCACATGAAATCCAGGGAGTATAGTTTTATAGGCCTAGTTACTTAGCTCTCCAGATCTGTTCAGAAGTAGGCCAATACACACTGTGGTATGAGTACATCAGAGCTAAAATAATCATGGCTTTGAAACACCAGTGCTTCCTTTCACAGGAGACAAATTCTGAAAATTAATTGTTACCGTTAAGGATTATGAATTACATGGTCTGGTTTATTTATCTCAACTCATCACCGTGTAATTCCAAGAAAGGATTATTTGACCTGTTCTTGATAAGGACATAAGTGCAGATATCAATACAGCCTTCTGCCACAAAGCTTCCTCAGTTCCATGACCACGTTTCCCCTTAAGCTTAAAAAAAGGTTCTCATTCTAGTTCAACTTTTAAATCTATAGCAAACAAAAATAAAGCAAAATGTGTTATGGTGTAGTTTTGCAAGCACAGATGGTAGGTTTTATTAACCCGTGACATGTACCTTGTAGTTACCGAGGTCAGAATGGCTAAAGGCTGAACCTTTATATGTGAAAAGCCTAGAAGATTAAGGAAATGCATTGTTTAAGGAAGTATTATTTATTGATGGTGAGAAATTAGTATAAATCTGTACATAAAGAACCACGTTGAAACTACAAGCCAAAGCCTTAGAACTGCACAAGCAAGCCTGGAATTTGCACTCCTACGTAATTATTATGGGATCTACCAAGTTCACATGCTGTGTTTGGCTGTGTAGTTAAGATGACTATGAAAAAGGAAAAGTGCATAAATTTCTCTGTGTATGAATTGCATGCATGGAATTCTGAAACTCGGGTAGCAAGATTTATTCTGAGAACATAAATATCCCTTTGTTTCATTTTTCGCAGTGAAGTTTGAAGAGAATGGTATTATTAAAGTAAAACTTTGCAGACCTGCTGGAATTTAGGCAATGGATGAACTCCAACTAATATCCTAAACAGATCCAGCCCTTTCTAGGAACTCAGTAACAATGTATGGTAGCTCAGGTTTGTGCACCTTAAAATTAGAGCCCATTTTAGCTGCGTGCTCTTGGGAGAGGCTGTTTCTGTTTGGCCAGTTCTCCAGCCGAGGAGGAGTTGACCCCATGCTGAAGCTCTGGGTGAACACACTGCTCTCAGAGGCTGTTTCTGTTTGGCCAGTTCTCCAGACGAGGAGGAGTTGAGCCCGTGCCGAAGCTCTGGGTGAACATGCTGCTCTCAAACAGATCCAGCCCTTTCTAGGAACTCAGTAACAATGTATGGTAGCTCAGGTTTGTGCACCTTAAAATTAGAGCCCATTTTAGCTGCGTGCTCTTGGGAGAGGCTGTTTCTGTTTGGCCAGTTCTCCAGCCGAGGAGGAGTTGACCCCATGCTGAAGCTCTGGGTGAACACACTGCTCTCAAGCACGGTCCAACGTCCCGTGAAGTCAGTCCCGTGGCTGTGTGTCAGATGTGTGGGTCTGGTGTCCTTGGGCAGATTGCAGAATGATTTGCGATGACGTAGTGCTTGACGTGGCATCAGCTGATGAATTTAAATAGGGTCTTACAGGCAGACCATAGCGATCAGTATTGCTATTTTTAATAACTCGATTACCTGTGAGGGCTTTGGAGCAAGGATTGCTTTGCTGCTGTTTGTACTTGTCATTGTGGAAGGGAATAGCGATTCGGAGTTTGAATTCCTTGGTGCTGCCATGAAATGAAAGCCAAATAACAATATTCATAATAATTTGGAAATATAAGTTGGGTGTTGGCTTTAGTTTCTAAAGATGATTTTCTGTCTTGTTCTTGCTACTTCTCCGGAAAGTTACATTAGGGGGAAAAAGTTGACCAGTTTTTGATACATAAAAGGGAAAACTGAAATACCTTATGGCAAATCCATGAAAGACTTTTAATATTAACTGAGCAAACAAAGCTCAGGGTATTGAGCCTCTGCTACTGTTTAAATGATCATTCTGTTTCAGTGGTTTAATAAGTGGAAGTTGCTCCACAATGTACCTACTGTGTGAGTTAAGCTGTTCCAAATCTTTTTCCAGACTCGAATCAATTAAGTCTGTGGTATATCAGCGAATATCATTGTTTGCATACTCACAAGTAGAGTTGCAGTCTCCCTCTAGAGAGTGTGTACATTAGAAGAGACAGTTTCTCAAAGGAATAGACAAAATAGAACTGGAGGGCAAGGAATTACTAGCACAGTGTTGAAGAAGCGTTTCCTACATGAAACATAGGAAGTGCCTAAATTTGTATCGTATCCAGTAATTATACGTTGCATTACTCAGCATGTCATGTATCTACTTGTTTTATTTCTTTATAAGAAGTTATGTTTCTATGTAATAGATCATAATTTTCTGCTGGCCTAGATGAAAAAAACAAGGGGAGTATAATAATATAGGTTTTATTTCTTTATAAGAAGTTATGTTTCTGTGTAATAGATCATAATTTTCTGCTGGCCAAGATGGAAAAACAAGGGGAGTATAATAATATACGTAAAACAAAAGTAATATTTACTCATACAGGAATGTTTACAATCACTTATTTTTTTTAGAAGAACCTCAATGTTGGGAGTGAGAGAAACCTCTCATATTATTTTAAAATCTTTTTCACGTGCATCTCAGTGTTGGAAAGAGTAATGGAGTCAAAGTATCCTTTATACTGACTTTCTTATATACAGGCAGCATATATTTAACAGGGAACAGTACTGCTATTTTCTGTTGTGATTTTATTTAATTAATGTTATTTCATCTGTGTACAGATGACATACTGGGTTGGGTTCATAATGTGCCTGTTATTGTGAATCCATTAACCCCAGATGAGATACAGCAGCGTGCACAAGCTGAAACCTGTTCTTTCCATCACGTTACACCCCTGCGTAGGCTTATTTGTATTTATGTTAGTCTGGACCCTCTCCTTTTTATCCTGTCTTCCCTTTCTTAAAAAAAAGTGAAGAAGCTGACCCAAATTGCAGGGGAAAGCTAATAATTGTTATGTAAAGAAAGAGTTATCTGAAAAGAAAGACATTTGTGATAGAGTTAATAGTTTTTCATCTGCTTTGGATGAAAGAGGTGAACTGACTGGTGCTCTCCCTGCCTTATTTGTTCTTCTGGAAGAAGCATAATAGGAGAAGGTGAGTCATGAGTGTGTTATAGGAAAAATGCAGCTCAGTAGTATGTTCTATTTGTGAAACAGGCTCGCTGAAATGCATGCAGTTAGGAAAATACCATTACATAGGCAATGAAAGGTCCAAGAATACTTTTCCAGCCTCTAAATGATCACTCGTGTGTGCAAATGATCACCAATGTAGCTTTTAGGCTGAAAAGTTTTGTCAGAGGTGTTCAAACAACTTCCATGGAGCACTGCGAAGACAAATACTCTTTTTAATGTCATTGAGGGTTACAGATTATTATTTGCTGAATGAAAATGAAAACGCTTTCACTCACACAGAACACAGAATTTCATCACATTCATATATCTCGAATAAGCTGTTGAAAAGGAATATATTTACTGGAATTCAGAAGGAATTTTCTTGAGTTCTTATGGTGATAATGGGCCCTCTTTCTCTGATGCATCTCTCAGCAGGTGTCAGCACTGAAAATGTGAGCCTAAAATTTTCACATGGAGTTTTCGCTGTTATATTATTATTTTTAAGAATAATAAATAGTGGGGTTTTTTGAATCCAAGGAACAACTTTGTTGTGACTGTAGAATGTGATTCTGTAGAGGAACGATGTGTAGTAGCAAATAGCCAATGAATCATACTTCCCAAACAAAAACCGGCATATAAAAAAGATCAAGGTTTATTATGCCTCGCTTACTATCAAAGAAAAATGTACTGGCAGATGCAATGTTAGCAAATTCTTGGTGCACTGTTCACTTTTCCACAGCAGATGAATGACTGTCATTGATAGACTGGTCAGACAGGCTAGAACAAAATAGCATTTATCTTTTGCAGATCAAGGATTCACCTGCTTTCTTTTCCAAGAAAAACATGAAAGCTGGAATGAAGTTTTATTGGAATTGATGCACCTTCGTTGTCAATAGCAGGAAAATGAGTAGTGGAGTGGCAGAAGGTAAGCTCAGTGTTTGTATTTAATATTTTATTGCTAAAAGGCATGGAATTCTTCTGAGTCATTCATACATTTTAGAGCAAGATTGAGCAAGACTCAGTGTTCAGCACCAAGTGATGAGGCCAAATGATTTTTCAAAATTTACTGCCTGGAACAAAATCATTTAACTGCTCAGTGCATCTCAGGGTATGCACCATGGACTCAGCAGTGTGGAAAAGAACCATGAGGTCCTTCCTCTAACACCTTTTCTCCTTGCTGGATGGGTTTTTCCTCGTGGTATACCTGTCGTGGTTTAGGTCGAATTGGTCAATCAGAATGACAGATGGCCCTTCCCCCCCTGCCAATGAGAGGAGAGGAAGAGATAAGGAGATTTACAAGTTTAGAATGAACTAAACTAAAATAAAAAAGGAAATAATGAAATAAATACAATATATACAAAACCGTATCAAGCTCCCAGGATGACAATCACGTCACCAGCAGGCACTGGGGAAATCCCAGTCTGGACTCAGTGATGGATGGGAATTGGGTTCCAGCTCTGGAGTCAGGAACACACGGATTGGGATCAAAGGGAGATGAACAGACAGGGTCCTCTTTGGATGTCAGCCATTGAAGAAAGAACTGACCCTTTAATCCCTCAGTTTTTATACCGAGCATGGGGCAGATAGGATGGAATATCCCAGTTGGTTGGGTTTGGGTCACCTCTCCTGTCCAGGAGGCAAGAGCCTCTCTGTACCCCGTTCCTTGGCATGAAGTACAAACATTGGTCCGATCACTCTGAGAACGAGCAGTTTTCTCCACAATATACTGTTAATTTCAGAGGGTTAGAAGAAGCCTAGCTAAGATGTAAAATAACTGAAGAGAAAGTTAGTTCCGTTTTACCTCAAACCAGGGCAATACCTAATGACTCTGTGTTTCCACAATATACTGTTAATTTCAGAGGGTTAGAAGAAGCCTAGCTAAGATGTAAAATTACTGAAGAGAAAGTCAGTTCTGTTTTACCTCAAACCAGGACAATACCTAATGACTCTTTGTGTTCCAGGGACATTCCTCAGTATGGTTAAAATGCTCTCAAAAAGCATAGGTTATCTCTGTACATTAGAGAAGAAGAACCCACCCATATTGGTAGAAAAGATCTTTGGTCCCTATGCCCCCAGTTAGACTGTACATTTTCAGTACAGGAGGGATGCCATAGTAAAATGTTAGTATAAGGCCAGGTTTTGTGGACTTTTTTCAGTACAGGAGGGATGCCATAGTAAAATATTAGTATAAGGCTAGGTTTTGTGGACTTTGATTGTCTTCCAGCCCCTCAATTTTCTTGACATAAAAAGTACCCTGCCTACCTAATGTGCTACTCGTGTAAATTTAGAAACAAGGCAATTCCTAAAAAATAATCTGAGAGCTAGGTCCCTAGGTTGGACTGCAGAAAAAAGTTGAAAAAAATCTTTGTCTTTGAGTTCCTACTGTGCAGACTAACTCACATTAGTTCATTTTTGTGCACTTCTTTTGTAATACTAAATGTAAATTGGGGCTGGAAAACTGAACCCAGTGATAGCTCCAATGGGTAGTCACTATATTTGTAGTACGAATAGGCAATAACTTAAAACTATGTGAAAGAAGCAGAAGATAAAGTTGGTGGTCTTATAAATCTAATTTTATCCAAAGATTTCAGAATCAAACAAGGACTTATAGAAAAAAACCCCACTCTTTAAATAAATATCTTTTGTTCTTCAAAAAGAAAAAACACAGGGCACTTCAAAAAAAATAAGGGGAAAGGATTTTGTTTGCTGCCATTCTGTCTGAAGTGCATGGCCTTTGCAGTGCAGAAATCCAGTATGGAAAGCAACTTTTCTGATGAGAGCTGAATAAACAGTAAGCTAATTGTGTTTCATTTGCAAAGTATTACATTTGTGATAAGCCTGTTTAAACACTGTGATTCTCTACTGTACTTATCTGACATAACTCTTCCTTTGCAGTATGGTCGTGTCCCTTTAATATGTGTTGTCACATCTCTGATAGAATGGAGTTGAGAGTGATGACAAAACCAGCAACATCTGGGAAATGAAAAGGGAAAAGCTAAGTGTCAGATAGCAATCAATGGATCACTTACGGCAATTATGCTGGGGAAATGAAAGTAGTTGGTGTGATGTAATTTGCAGATGATCAGGCTGGTGAAGGGAGTCAATGCTGCTTCCCTTAGGCTGTTTCGGAGATGTCTGTGCAGATGTCTGTCCCAGAAATGCCACACATTCAGGAGAAGCTGTCAACTCCCCGAGGTACCACCCACTTCAGATGAGATAGAAGAGGGCATATGCCCTGTGGCAGTGCCATCCATTAGAACAATCTGTGTAAGCCACGCTGTAAAGAAATGAGCAAACTGGAACAGAATGAAGCTTGAATTGTAAAGCACAGAGTTCTCCTTCCAGTCAGTTTGAGCTTCCCGGCTCAGTCCAATCTCAGCACCTCTCTGGTGACACACAACTTACTCTGTTTTGCCAGGTCTGTCCTTTCCCATTTGTCCAAGTTTACTTTTTTGTCATTTCAACTTAGCCCATTTTCCTTCTTTATGTTTTCTAGTGCAATTAATTTAGTGATTTTGCTCTCTTCCTTTTCACATCACATCAACTAATCACTTGCCTGCGTTTCTGCTGCCTCGGTTTGGCTAACGTTTCTCCTGTGCAACAATTCAGCTTTGTGCTTCCCTTCCTCTTTAGTGCCCTCCATTATTTATTAATGGATTGCACAACTCCTCACCAAGAACCTCGACATATCTTAAAGACGTTCAATAATTAAGCCCCACCATGAGCATCCCTATAAGGGATGCAATTATATTCTCTATTTACCAGCTGGCTAACCAGAAACAGACGTAAGTCAGGTAAATTGCCTTGGGTTAAAAGTTGGGGAAAGGCAGCTCTGAGAATAGAATCCAGAGTCAGTTGAGTTTCTTTGCCAAAAACTTGCAGTACTCTGAAGCACATATACCAGCTGTTGGGGAATCGCTGCACTAGCCCAGAACTGTCCTGTTCTAGCTTAGAGATTAAAATCTATTATTGATTAGGCTTTAAAACTCAGTCCTTGCCCTTTTCTTTCCTAAGGGGACAACAGAAACATCTGAACTTGTCAGCTTAAAATAATTGTCTTCAGTCCTTGCCCTTTTCTTTCCTAAGGGCACAACAGAAACATCTGAACTTGTCAACTTAAAATAATAGTCTGCTTATGTTTTCAGGTCTCTCCTGTACTGGTTCTGTAGGTTAGTGAGGTCTATGTATAGCTGGATTTTTTATTCTATAACATGTATTAACAGCAAAACTGTTTCAAGAAGAGAAGGTCGCTGTCTGTCTGTCTATCCATCAATCTACCTGTCTGTCTGTCTTAGTGTGAGCCAGTCAGACAGCCTGTCCGCAGCGTCAAAAATCCAAGCTAGATTTGTTATCTGTGAGACCATCTGGACTACATACTGAATTCTCTGTCACCATTAAACAGATGAATCACACTTTGTAAATAGTGACTTCAAGGGGTTTTTTTTGCTAGAGCTACTTGTTTTGTGAGGCTGGCAAATTCTTCAGCAGTCCTTGTAAGATTTGGTCTTGATGTCCATGTTCACCCCATTTTCATGTGTGTGACCATCTTCGAGATGTAGAATATTGAACAGAACACAACCTGTGGAATATTCCAGATGCAGGGTTTGCAGCACATTTATGCAAGCATTAACATGGCACTTCAACTATTTTCATGAAATATTTTCATATCATTTTAAGCCTTGGGGGGGATGGACGGTGTGACCTTGCAGACTCATTGTCGTTTCATGGTCAATTAATACACTGTGATCTTGAAATCTCGTTTTAGAGTAGACATTCTTAATTTTGATGCTGGGAATTAATCTACAAAGGATAATTCTGATGATGGACATAAGTACTGATTCTCTGCTGCAAGAGCTGCAGGCCAAACCGTGGTCACTTCTACAAGGCTGGTCCCATCACTGGGCGTTGTGTCCCTGCTCTTACTGTCCTCAACTGCAGCACGCCCTTGGAGAGAGAGCTGGTGTGCAAAATATTGTCATTATTCAGTTGTAAATGTGAAGAAATGCCTTCTGGTCATGAGAGCTGGTGTGCAAAATATTGTCATTATTAGGTTGTAAATGTGAAGAAATGCCTTCTAGTCATCTGCTCTCTACAACTACCTGAAAGGAGGGTGTAGAGAGATGGGGGTCGGTCTCTTTTCTCAAGTCACAGGCGACAGGACAAGAGGAAATGGCCTCAAGTTACGCCAGGGGAGGTTCAGGCTGGATATTAGGAAAAATTTTTTCACCGAAAGGGTTATCAGCCATTGGAATGGGCTGCCCAGGGAGGTGGTTGAGGCACCATCCCTGGAGGTGTTCAAAAGACAGGTTGATGTAGTGCTGGGAGGTATGGTTTAGTGATGGTGTTGCTTTTCGTTTGTTGTGTGGGTGTCTGTTTTTGTCAAAATTAGGTTGACGGTTGGACAAGATGATCTTTAAGGTCCCTTCCAACCTAGAAGATTCGGTGATTCTCTGATTTTGCCTTTTCGTTTCTGGTGCCTGCCTGGAAATATTTGTGGGCTCCTGGAAGCTTTTCAGTAGGAACACTGAGGGCAGTAGTCTCCAAGTGTTTGGTGTTCTCAACACTTTTCCAAATCTTCAGTAATTAGTGCATCCTAATGCCTGAGGTGGTGCCTCGTGGTCAGGCTCGCTGTGGTATCTTGCATAAGCTCAGTGGAGTTGCAGATCTTCCGAAGGGGCCACCTGAGGTTTTGGCATGAGAAGGATTGAATGCTGAAATATAGATTGCCTTTCTGTTTTGTGGAGGGAAAAAAAAGCACCCATCCATATGAAATTGTGCTCATTACTGAGGAAAATAAATTCTTATCTGTCAAGCAAGTGGCCAGCCTTTAGAAGTGGTTAGAGTTGCACATCGATTACTAAGGAAAAACAACACCTGTGTACACTAATTACTTCTTTAATGGAAGGTTTTCAGATATAGGGTCAGATTCTCCACTTGCATCAATTGTGTGCCAGAAAACTTCCATTGTGGTCAGTGGTAGGTGTTAAGAGTAAATTAGGTGAATAGTATGTTATGGTGCACAACAGGAGTATCATCATAATAGGCAAGAGCTTTAACTTTTAAATAGATACTTTATATTTTCTTACATGATCAGTGTCCCTTTAAATACTGTTTGAGTTAAATTGAGTGCAGTTTTGTTTCTTGTCTTTGTCTCATGTTTGTTGACTTTCTGCTCTCCTTACTACTGTCAAAAACACTTTGATGCTATAAATAAGAGCATGGATTAAATACATTCTTTGTGACAAGCAGCGTGCAGTGTATTCACTTCTTTCTTCTAGAAGATATAATATCTTTTTTATTATTTTGAATCTCCGCTCTTCCATTATTCTGAAGATCAGTAGAAGCACATCTGAGACCCAGTGATGAAAAAATGATGTGTCTGTGTGTATATATATATACACATATACGTATATATATTCTGCTTGTGACAGATATATGCTTGCACCTGAAAATATCCACAGACATACAAACTACAATATTAAGGAAGTTTCAGACTCTGTGTTGTTGGTTTTTATTTACTAGAGGGGTTCTGTATGATGCTGTGATACAAGAACTTGTGTTAGGATGAGGTTGCGTATGACTAATAGGATATATCAATTAGGCTTTAAGTAGTCCTTCTGGCTAAAGAGTTAGGTGTGCCAAGGATTTCAAAGCAGAGAGGAGTCACGGGTTGGTTGTACCTCCCGGTGCCCAGGCACTTGAGGAGCTGTGTCCTTGTGCCCACCACAGCCAAGCATTCAGCAATGTGCCTGATGTCCTGGCAGGTACTTTTATGATTTATACTGATCTGGCCAAATCTTTTTCAGGTGTAAGTTGACTTGAGTGAAACTGTGTCTGTTTGCATTAAAGGAAAAATTCACCGGTGATGTGCGTTATACCCGTCGCAGAGGGAGGCTGATGCTTTCTGAAAATCTGACCTTGTCGCTCCCTGTGGTGCACAGTGCAGTGGGAATGCACTTTAAATAAAACCAAGATGCACACAGGAGGAAACATCGAGGGCAGTTCAGTATACATTTTAGGTGCAGAGAGCAGACATTATTGTGTATTTTCAAGTTGTATATTTTTACCAGATGCCGCATTAGGCCAGTGATTTGCAGGCAGGAGAAAGAAAAAGAGCCCCCGTGTAACTGTCCTAGGGCTGGCAAAGTCCAGTGAGTGTGAGGTCTAGTCTCATCTCAGGCAATTCTATTTTATATTTGTCTTCATTATTAAGCACACTTCATATTCTCTTCCTCAGCTCACTGCAGTTTCATTTCTTCGCTTTATATATCAGAGAGCCGGACAGAGTCAGCTCAACTGGCAGCAGACTTTAGACTTTTATTAAGTCAGATAGAAATCATCTCACTCAGTAATCTGGAAAGATGGAGAGAATTTGTGGGCTTGGCATGATAGTCTTTTTTAATTACTGTGGATTTCTGATCTTCTACCTTTCCCTGCCGTTTAGCATGTAGTTGTGAACTGGCAACATGAGTGTCAAACTCCCCTCTAGTGGTTGCTCTACACAGAGAATAAACATTAATTTAGCTTGATGACAAGTATTTAACTCTGGACTAAAAGAGATGACAATTCGTGTGAGATTCTGATGATTGTACATAGCAAAATTTATTTTTTGTCTTTCTTCCGCTTTTAATGATTTAGTTACTTCACATGTTGAAATACTGTAATTAAAACATGAATCATTGTCAAAACAAACAAACAAAAACAAAGGGAAAAAAAAAAAAAAAGAATTATGGTACTATACTCTGCAAAATGCGAACGTGCCACCTATTGGCGATGGCTTTGCAGCTCTTGATCACTCGTGCCAGCAGGTCAGCAGCAATGTCACCACCAACAATGTCCTTTGTCCCACGCCACACAATAGAGCCACACACGGCTCTCCGCAGAGCTGTATTAATGCAGTGCTAGTGCTGCAATAATATAAAAGCAAGAATTGAGCAATAAGTGTGAAATAAAGAACTGAGTGTTAAAAATGTGCAAAGAATAGAGTGACTCATTAAGTGTCATTAAGATTAAAGAGTTCCATTTCTTGCTAACAGAGTTCTCAGCAGCAGATTGTGAAACCAGAAATATACTCTACAAGGCAGAAGTTTTTTGCTATGTGTGAAGAGGAAAGATATGGTGAACTTGTATGTTTCTCAGCCATCTGAGCTGTAAATTTGCACCTCTACAATCCTCTCAGAGAATCTGTTAATAACTTTTTGGAAGCTGTTCTGCCTGACTCTTAGGAGGCAGTTAAGATTGGACCCTGCCTGCACAGCGTCCGTGCGTGGAAAGGAAAAAACCAAGGGACGTCTGACTTTTTGCAAACTCTTTTGTGCAGGTTTTACTTCCCAGTTTTCAAAAAGAACCTTCATTCATCCTTTATGCATATTCAGAATTATATTTCTGTTGATTATATATTTTACACAGGTACCTCTGGTCTTCTGTAAGTGTAATTACACTTGTGCATGCGGATGTGGAGACTGTATTTTAAAACTGTAGTTCTTCTAATTTAATTTTCTTACAGTTTATATGGCAGTTACCATTTTTGCCTATTTTCCAGGATAATATTCAGTCACTGCTTACAGTACCATCTCTCCTGTGTTTTATTTAGTAGAAAAAAATTTGATGGTATTAGTTTCCTCAGCCTAAAAAAGGAGAAAGTGCTGTTTAGCAAATAATTTTGAAATGTGTTTTTGCTCATAATCTTGCTGCTCCCTCACAGCTTAGTTTTGATGGTGGTTGGTTTTTTTTTTGTTGTTTGGTTGGGTTTGGTTTTTTTTTGTGAGTGGCTCAGCTCGGTGAAAGGACAGAGTCAACCCTGACTGGCTGCAATAAGCCAAGCACTGGTGTGTGACATTAAATGTACACACTAGAATGTAAAACGTCAAGGAAAACAAAACCAGTTGTGGAGAGATAAGGTAATAATGGTAGCTAGCATACAGCTAGCGTGATTATAATACACCACAGTATAATATTTGACTAATCGTCTAAAAATATTGTTTTTCCTGGAAGTTGAGATTTGTCAGAATAATAAAACAACCCAGCAACCTAGATAAAACTTGGAATGAAGGACCAAAAAAAGCACATTTGCAAAGATGGGGTATGTTGTTATACCCATAAACACTGGAAAGCACTAGCTGTGTCAGGTCCTCTTAAAAATAATATGCTTTCATCTTATGTCTTAATGTAAGACCGTCTTTTATAGCAGATGTTCTGGGAGCGCTCCCTCCCTTACGCAATGACAGAAGCATACCAATGCTCCTAGAGAGGTTTACCTTTCAGAACTGACAAGTGTTAAAAGAAAAGAGGGGTGAGAACAGGTTTATAATCTACATCACGGATATGTGGGAAAGGGTTTTAAAATATACTGTGTAAGGGAGAGGAGAAAAATCAGACACATTAAATAAAATCTATATAAATAGTAACAGTGAAGTCATACAATGATCTTTAGCAAAATAAGCCCTGCTGAAGCAGACCATGAGCAGTGAGAGCCTGCTATTTCTTATGGGATGCAGTGATAAAGAAATTACATACTTATTTGAGAGGAACATAAATAAAGATTAATAGGTTAATGAGTTATTTTCCTTTCATTACTATACTATTGTACTTTATTATAATTGCTTTGCACTCATTTAATTAAATTTGAACTAGGGCCAACACAAGATAATTTGTTTTCCCTGTACTAAACAATGAGTATGCAGATTGGAAGTACTGAAGCAGTAATCAGCCCTCTGTTTGCAACACTTTTCTACTCTGAGTAGACATTATAATTGATAATTTGATTGTTGCAGCACTCCGTGCAATATATTTTAAAGCAACATTAACATAATGGAAATTATGTTGTGTGCCTAATCCAAGCTTTTCACTGTGTAAGTATATGAATCCCATTCTGTAATGAATTAGGGCTCTCTCCACTGAACGTTCATACAACCTTTACATGCCTTATTTTGGAACAGAGCTCTCTGCTTCAATGTCTTCCCTATCCAGTTATATCACTTAAGTTGTACTCAAAACAAGCAAGAGTCACAAGCTAAAACATTATTTGTTATGACATAAATCTGTCATTAAAATTAAGTAGTTTTTATATAGACCCTGTGCAATTCTTGCGTTGTTTCAAAGGAAGATGTTTATCCAGTCCATTAGGATTTATCTTTCCATTGTCTTTTTCCAGCTTCTGAGAAACCTGGTAGCAATTGACCTGAGTAGCAAAAACATGACGTGACTGAGACATCAAGGTAGGACTTTTCAATGCCTGTAATATAAACAAAGTTACCTCAGGCTTCACTTTTCACATTTTTATGTATATTGGAGTTATTTAAGAAACAGAGAGTATCATTTGTGCATGTTCTACAAGAGCAAAAAGAAAGGCTGAGCTTCCATTTGATCTTTTCTTTATCCCAATCACTTGCCCAACACGCACTTGTAGTATTTAGGTTCCTGTATTTAGTACCTGCTGAGGAGTTGGCCTCCTTATGTCCTGACCAAATGAAGTCCTGAGAACTGTGGGACACTCCTGAGCAGTTGTGTGCGACCAGTCACCAAGGTTACCTTGCCTTTCAAGTTTGGGTCATGAAAAAGAAGTGGAAAAACAAAGTGAAGTGTGATGGCTTATAAAACTCTGCCAACGCTGAACTTTATTTGTTTTCTGACAAAATAAGAGTGGCTTTGCTTGCGTAAATGTTTGAGTCACCTCACTTAATATTTGCCTATTTACTTTTATGGCCTGAAGTGTCCCTGTATTAAAAAGGTGAGTTGTGGGCTTGCAAAGTAAGTTCAACTTGTTTGAGAAAAGTGTTCTAGAGGAGAGTATTTCACTTACTGTCTTTTAGGACTGAGCTTGCAGAGCCTTTTGTGATCTTTCTTGTGCAAGGAATCTACTGCAGATTAATCACAATTCACGTTTTAGAGAAGAAGTTGTGATGAGGTTAAATGTGTCTGTTGGTCTAGTTGGAGAGAGCTGACAGGGAGTGTGGAGTCCTCCAGGTTTCCTGCACAGGCTTCTTTCATTCTCTACCACGTTTCCAGAGGAAGTTCTTGAAGGAGACAGTAGGCCTGACTGACAAGCCTTCACATTTTGGGTTTTTTTTGCTTCTGGTGTGTCATTCTTTTCTTCTTTTGCTATTGATTATTGAACATTGTCATGAAGCCAAATATATTAGGAGAGATGCCAGTACAATAATCCTGGAGCTGAGAGAAAATTAGATTCAGGACAGGGGAAATAAACAGTGTTATGTGTATTTAAAAAGGTGTCAGAGAATGCTCCCTGCATCGCCTCCTGGCTCTAAAATGGCTGATCTTCTGAGAGGTTCTTTCTCCCTTGCTGTGGTCTGACACTACGTGCCACACATTGATCCTTTTGGAACTTCTCCTCTTTCCAGCCATGTGATAAGTACTTGAGGAATCCTGCCTCGGATAGTTTCTCCCTCACATGCTGAGTTTTCACTAATTTGCTCCTCATGATCTACTTAAAGTCCAGAAATAATGAGGTGGGCTTTGTGTCAATAAAAGGAGATGTGCGGGTGGTGGTGAGACACTGTGTGTTGGAAAGGAGCCTGGAAACCAGGTTTCCTTCTGGAAGTTAGGTTGTAGAGAGCTGCTCTTTCCTTCATTGAAAGCCTGGAGGCAGGTTTCTTTCCCTCAGATAACAGCACAAAGCACAGAAGCCTTTGTAACTTGTCTACTGTGAGGCCTAACCAAACAGTAAGACTCTCCTGAGTCTTAATAAAGGTTGCAGTCATCCTCAGCGTGCCTCAGCTTTGCAATAAAGGCTGGTGCCTCTTGGCAGCTTTTGAGTTTCCAGAGATAGGGTTTGCCTGAGCCAGGAGACGTGGAAGACACAGCATCATTTAGTCTTCGTCTCGAGGAGTGGTGGGATGTTTCCACACCACTTTAGAATTTGTTACAGTGGGTTACGCCTTCAGAAAAACTAATTTATATGTCTCAAGTAGAAAGTGGATCATAAGTGCTCTCTCTTTTTATACAAAGCCACTGCGATCAGCCCACAAGGCAAATCCAGGGAGTTTTCTGTTTTCCATTTACCGTACTTTTCAATTGATTGGTCAGTGGTGTGTATCCTTTTTCAGTTTCTTTATTCCCTCTCTTTCAGACTTGGAATATCATTGCCTGAAATCCTGAGGGTAACATTATAGATTTCTTTTTCTTTCACACAGAGGCCTTTAAACACACAACCTACCTGGATTGCCCCTCCATCTAGCTTTAATTCAGTCTGGGTGTGTAGCTCAAGTCACAGACTAAACATTATCCAATTGCTTCTTTACACAATTTTGTTGGATTAAAAAGGGAACAATCCTTTTCATAGGTGTGCATAATAAATATACCATGAGTGGAGACATAAGCATGAGAGAATATCTTGATATGAAGTGTTATAACCAGGTTAGCTTCATAATTAAATCAAAAAGTGCATGAGGAAAAGAAAAAAATCTCTAAAAAGCACGAGGATCATGGAAAGGTATGGATGGAAAATAAAATAGGAGATTTTCAAAGCTGAAGTTTTGTAGCTAGAGAATTATACCTGCCATCCAGTGTGGATATTTATTTGGGATAAATTAAATAGCAGTTGAGACTGCTGAGATGCATATATCAATCATTTGTGAGATAAAGCTGGTAGGGAAGATTGAAAGATTACAGAACAAAGGGATAAGTGTAAGCAAAAGGACCAAAATAAAATAAGTTTGTGCAAAGGGCTAAGATAAATAAGAGATTTTTTTTTCTGAATACAGAAGAAAGGAGGTCACTGGAGAAAGCAGTAGAGTTTGAGACATTGCAAAGGTAACCTACGTTTGGTTGAGAAAAATGTATTTTCCAGGTGTTAAACGTTTTGACTCAATGTTCTCAATGAAGATAAGAATAATACAAATAAAAGAGACATAGAAACAGACTCTGAATACTGACAAAATCCAGGACTTAAAAAAAAAAATCAACTCAGATTTCTGTGAGAACTTAAAACGCAGAGGAGGAGACATGAAGATGCTGAACGTGTCATGGGAAATAATGGCTGGCTGGAAATGCCTGGTGACTTCAAGTGTAGTAGAGACTTTTAATTCTTGGCAGTTTTTAAGTCATGACATGTTTTGGATAGTCTGTGGTTACAAGAGAATAGTTCTGTGAATGGCAGCTTTGCACATAACTGTTTCTATTATCCTCCTGTACGACGTGCTTTTTTTCCTAGTTTGCTGTAGAGAAAAGGGCACCAAACTGGGACCCAGTTGAGGCCGGATCTGGAGGAGCAGAGATGAGAGGCCACATCCTCGTTCTATTTGAGTAGGGTATTTAATGGTAAATTTAACAAGTAGAGCAGTCGAAGAGGAGAAAGAATCTGCCAAAGCAAGGTTTCCCAGTGCTTTGCTAGTGCTTGTGTTCATCACACCGTATATAATCTAGCCCAAATTCTTCTATTATAAACCCAGTAAGAAAAATTAGACATATGGAGTTTCTGTACAGGCAATTTTGGGTCGTATATACTTTTAAGGAATATGTATCCTATTCATCATCATCTTATATAGTTCCAAACACTAGGTATAAGTAAATCCTCCCTAGAAGAAGAAAATAAAGATAAACAATGACATTTTTAGCTGGAAGTAGGGGTAATTTTCAGAAGCTGACTTAAAAATCTGAGAAGACACAGTGAACAGTATTTTGGAGAATAAAAAAAGACCACAAGCTTGCAGTCGCGTAAAGAATGTATAAAATACGCTGTCAAAGACAGTACAAACCCATGGATGGCAGTAAGGCTTGAAGAGTTTTCAACAACAAAGAACAAATAACAAGGTAATCATGGCAAACTGCAGAATGCAGATACAGAGGATTCGTGTAATCTGATGTTGGCAAGAGATGACAATATTATGGTAATGCTCAAAAGACCAGTCTCTGGTTTTAGTTTTGTTTTGTTTTGTTTTGTTTTTAAAAAAAACCACATTATTGCACAACCAGACAAGGTTCAAATGTGATGCTAGTGTGGTACGAAGGCAGAGAGAACTTAATTGTTTGTTAAAGTTAGAGAAAGCAGGTCCATAGAAGAGATTAAATTATGAGGTCGTCTCATTGAGTCAGAGATAATTCTGAAGGGAATAGGCAGGATAAATGCTACCAGGTTAGTTGGACTCTTCTGAGATGCAAGAACAAAGGAGCATGAACTAAAAGAAACAGATGGCAAAAATTTGTAGTTGGAATTTCTTACACAAATAGGGAGCGAGTGCATGTATGAAATATTATAATTGAAACAATAATTTAAAGGGTTAGTGTATCTAAGGTTTAAAACATACAGACATTTAGCATTAGCATTTACAGTGAGCTGTTTTTGTTGCAAATAATTATGCATAATCTTTTTGCAAGGCAGCTCTAATGTAATAAATAATAAAATAAGGCAGAAAAACTTTGAAATAGAAATTTTAATTTAGAGTTGGTCATAATTCTGGTTATTGGAAATTTTTCTGCAGTGATTCCCTGGCAGCAGAAGTGTGTTGTGTGGAAAGAGGGAGTAAAAATTATTTCACTATATATATTTTTGCGTCTACCATTTACCTTTTTTGGCAACAGGTATAGCAGAAGGGGTTGCGTGATGTATGGGTCATCAGAGGAGTTATTTGTTTCTTAGAAAAATAAATTTAATTTTATAACTGTGCAGAGAAGTACACAAATGCACACATTGACTAAAACACAACACAGGAATTTGCCTGTTATAGCTCTGAAGAAAAATGGGGAAAATGAGGAGAGCCCTTTGGGGATGGGTTCTCCCCAAGAGCCTCCCTGTTCAACCAGCAGCTCCCCTTATGCTGCAGCCATGGCCCTCTCCTGTAGCACAGCCCTTCGTGGAAAGGGCTCAGTGAAATGGGAAGTAAATGGGACACATATGTGAATTTTTTACCAGAGTCAAACAAACTCCTGTTTAATGGCAAAATGGATAATTCTGTCTGTAGGTGCCCCAGACTAACGTGATGTATTTGTTGTTATGCTTAAGGGTCACTCAGAAGCTCAGATGAGGCTGTAGCGTCCTGCCTGGATACTGGGAGCCTTTCCGCCAGAGTGATGATGGATCATCAGCTTCACTCTGTCAGATAGAAATCTTAATCTTGAATAACTGAAGCTCAGGTATCATGCAAGACCACTTCTATTCATCCAAAGATGACCGTCTGTATAGAAGCTGTCAGCAGAGGTCCCTACGGTCTGCCAAAACCTGGATCTTCCATTCTCCTGTGAGGATATGAGGAT